TTGTCGTTGGATTCAGATTGCTTCCCCAATACCTAGGGAACTTGAGGCAAAGAGAATATGAGCATTGTTTTTGGTTTATATGCAGAGGGAAATTGTGATAGTTGCATGCTCGCAGAGCCAGAAAAGGAACATAAACTAGAAAGGTTTCTAGTTTAGAAAGCATAAATAACAGAATTAGTAGAAGACACTTAAAAAAATTGCCAAGAGTTTTGATACCATGATAAGAATTGGAGAATTGTTTAGTAAGTTTTATTGCAATTTGTGTATAAATTTATACAATCATAGAAAAACTTCTATATATATATAATATAAAATTAGGAAAAAATTGAAATAAAGTTAACTATGTAATAATTACTATGGATTGAATGCCCATAAAGTTTCCTTGTACAACCGGGTAGTTCTTACGATCACTAACATGACAACAAAGACCTTACAGATCTATGATATGCCAGTAGAGAGGGAGGAAGTTGCGGGCCTAGGCTGGTAAAGTCTAGTATTGAATTCTCAGGAGAAATTCCACACATGGGCATTTTGACGAGTATGGTGAAGTTTGACAAGAAACACATTTCAAGAGAAAAGATGCATGAGGATGTGTAACTGCGTGATAATGGAATCAAATAATGTTCAAACTTAGCTAAATATTTATTCCTTATAGATAATTATGTACAAGTAACAATAACATTGTAATCCAACCTTGCACGTCCTTTTTTGTTTATAGACTTGGACATTCAGATTAAAATAATTAATTCTCCTTTTTAGAGACGTTGCTTGTATACTTAGAAAAATAGTAGATGATGGAATTCAGATGGTTGATTACAAATGATATGCTGCGTGTCATGGATTTACGAGATTTAGCAGAGGAGCTTTTGGTGGAATAAGATCAACACTTTTTTAATGGAACCATTGAAAAATATTGATAAGATATTTTTTTTTGACTTTAGCATAGAATGTCTTTTTCTTTTTCTTTAGAAGATTTACAGATTGTATGGGATAAATAAGTTTTGATTTTCTATACCTTCAAATTCATTTTCTTCATTTATTTGATGTTTGAAATACACTTCATCTTTTCAATTCATTTTTAAAGAGCAAACTATTTGTAGGTATTTATTTATTTTTTCTTAGTTGATTAGAAAGGGATTATCATAGTCCACTATGCTAACAAGCCATTTCATCTTCATTATATTGAAGCTCACTTCCCACTTGCAACGAGCGTTGCATTTGATAAGAATGGAATACCATGATCTCTCATACAACTCTTAATTAGATAGTATATGAAAATTTTCCTCTGCATCGATAAATGAAAATGTGATTTTCTTTGGGGAAACGTTACAGTAGGATTTCTGTCAATGATTCTTATAGGGTATGTGATGGATGACATCTTAGGTTCTACGATTCCTAATGCAACTAGATTATATAACTATACAAATCAAATTTGGAATTTGTTGCTCTAAAGTCCATCAATTAAAGAATCATTCGCTAACTTTTGATGCTATCAGGCCAAGCAGTAACTTCATGATTGTATAAATCAAATAAAATTTAACAAAAAAATAAAACCATAAAAAATAGAGCTAATTAAGATTAGCACCGCAAGAAGAAACTCACTTCTAATAAATTTGAATAAAATCTGACACGTATGTAAAAATTAATAAAAAAAACATGTAGAAGAAAAATACATGTTAAGAAAATTTCAAATATAAAAATTCAGGCCTAATGTTGTACAAGAAGACGTCTTCACCTAATCTTGAATATTGGACCTTGCACCTTTGTGTAATCAATGTCCAGCTAGAAACACAAGATCAAAAGAAAACAGAAAAAATTAAATTAGCCAATTACATGCCTTTAACTATTTATAAGAATCAAAATAAACATTAAAATCAACAGCTTCAATGGTCTCATTGCCATTCAAAGTCATATTCATTTCATGTGGATTGTGGCAGAAGTGTAAGTTTCAGTCTTTAGTATAATTGATAATTTTCAGTTGTCTGTATGAACATGCAAAGCTTTATAAGATAAGAAATTGCGGTGAAGATTGCTAGCTGTTGCAAGAGTTGGACCTAGAATCATATATTTGAAGGTGCTACAAGATCCGAAATCACAATAGAAGTGACAAGAGTTAGGCTTAGGTTCATGCATTTGTTGACATATAACTCACGACTGGACGGGCTTGGTTCACTCGTGCACGATCACACAACCCACGATCCCACTCATGTCATGTGTAACTCCCTCCCGCTCTTGTTCCTATACCAATCTCGTACCTCATTCGCACTCTCACACTCTCAGAACCTAAGGAAAGGAAGGAATGCACATAAATCTCTCTCATTTCTCCCATCTCCCTCAGCTGCAAGCAAAAGTCGGAGGCTACATACCTGCTTCCTTTTTGGTTTTGACCTCTGTCTACCACTCTGATCCCCTACATATCCCAGCCACATCGACTGCACCAGCCAACGTCCGATCTCGCCAATAAAGCCGACTCCCGCTGTCGTGCCATAGCCACATCGGTCGCCGCTTCCGCCCTAATGAAACCGAATAGCTACCAAGCAACCAGCATCCACCGCCCCAACCTCCCCTCACGGGGAGGGGGCGCCGAAAGGCAGCCGGATTTTCAAGGGGCATAAAAACTATCTTTTAAAATAAAATTAAATCACTTAATTAACAGGTCGCGTGCAATGGAAGACCAATTCCAAGGTCCATTCATTCCCCTGAAGTCCTCGCTGTTGATTTGTTATGGCTGAGTCGATCCAAAAGGGCAAGTGCCCGTGCCCTCCCTAACCTTCCCTTGCGGAGAGAGAATGACGCGAGGTTGCCGAAATGGAAAATGACAAAAGTTCCCACACAATTAATTTTGAAAAAAAATTCTCAACTTAAATGATTAAAAACAAAAAATGCCTTAAGAGTAATTGAGCAATTACATTGAGAATGATTTAATTGTCAAAAATTTGGTACAAAAAAAACGACATCTTCTTTAGATGTGTTTCATATTCTATAAATCTAATTATGAAAGGCATTCTTAATTTGAAAAGCTCAGGCGGATGGGGTAACGATCGAGGCCGTCGTCGCAGGTTTCGCGGAGAAGCGACGCGAACGGCGCCGAAGGAACAGTGCTTCGGCGAGATTTGAGCCAGATTTTGCGGAGGAGTTCTTGGATCCGACGGGTGTTAGGTATGTACGTTGGATTCATGGCTTGTTCTCCTCTCGTTTTGTTTCTACAGAGGTTAACAAAAAATAACGACATCTTCTTTAGTTGTGTTTCATATTCTATAAATCTAATTATGAAAGGCATTCTTAAAATTTTAAAAGCTCGGGAATGAGTTTGAGAAAGTGGTGGAGTGCATAGCTTTCTATATGCACAATCATGAAGGATTGGTTTGATAAGGAGATGCACCAATAAGAAATCATTAGTCAAGCCAACTAAAACCTGATATATTATTGCTATTATGATGTCAAAGAGATTTTATGTGCAACAAAGATATTCACTTGTGAAGAATTTTTCTCTAATTTTTATACAAAGGAAGTAAAAGGCTGGAGAGCATGTCAAATGATCTTATAGTGGATTTTCTTGAATAATGGGTGTATTGAATGTGTGCCAACTAAGAGAATTGATTTCATCTACACTCTATGCATTCCTATGCTGAGTTATTTAGAGAGTTTTGGAGTATTGTACTGCTGAATTGCAAAGTTCTTGTATTGTGAGTGAGACTTTACAATTTGCTTGTATTCTAGCTCAGGATCAATATGGAAATTATGTCATTCAACATATTTTAGAGATGGGAAAATTAAAAGAGAAGAGCCAAATCATCAACTAACTTTCCGATCAAGTTATACAAATGAGCCAGGATAAATTTGTTTCTAATGTTATCGAGAAATTCCTAGAGCATGGTAACTCTACTGAAAGAGGACTCTAGATTATGGAAATAATTGGTCAAACTAAAAGGGAATGACAATATGATGACCTTAGATGATTAATAATGTTGGCTTTGGAATAATAAAAGGGATTATGCCAATATATGAGGCAAATGAAATAGTGAATTGAGCTGATCAGATTACTTAGTGATTTGATTTATTACATCAGGTAGTCTAGGTCTTGTGGATACACCATTAGAAATACATAAAATGCAACATATTATAGACATTAAGAAGACCACATAAATGATGATAAGGAATAATGTAAGCGATAAATACATCCGCATGTGCTCTGATCGTCACATATGATTCTTAAATCAAATGGCCTGAGAATGTTATGTGAGCCAAATATTTAAGTTTCATCCTCCTCCTTGGAGTACTAGAGTCAACCTAACTTGAATTATACTCCTAAATTAGCTCAATTGAAGGGGACCACAAACTTTAAAACCCTCTCCCTCCCTCTCAAATTTCTACGAAAATACAAGTGACTTTAATGTCACCCCGATGATGACCGTGTTGACAAGAAATCTCAACCGGAGGGGTCAAATCTTAAAACTAAGAAAAATATGATTTTTTAAATAAAATCTATCATCTTAAAACTTAAAATTAAAACCCATCCATATTTTATAATATATATAATAGTTATAAAATAAAAAATTATGGGATCTTGATCGTGCCCATCTTCATTCCCCCAATCACATGTTTTAAATTTGTGGTGGTAAGTCCCAAATCATAAAAAAAAAAACAAATTCAAATCCTAATATTGCTGCTATTATATGTTGGGAAGGTATTGAGAAGGAGTATGGAAGGGAGTTCTACATCAGCAATTCAGCATGTGTTCTTGTTTGTCTTAGTATTGATGCATTGCACCATTTATTTATTTGCTGTTCTTTAGAGCTAAAGTACATTCATTAGCTTTTTGTTTACAAAATCAGATTTTCTAGTGATTGAAGTTCTATGTGAAGTCCAAATTTTAAGAGAAAATCTGAAGAAAAGTATCTCCTACAATCACATATGGCCTTTAATCGAGCAATCTGTGTCAATAATCTTACTTCTGCTGCACACAGTTTAAACTTTTAATTTATCTTCTATAACTGCAGACACAAAGAGTATTCTGCGGTGAAAAAACCAATTGATGCATTTAGCAATATTCTTTTCTCTTCTGGAACTACAGGTAACGGTCATCATCCCACAAACTAATATTTGATTTTAATGTTTGCTACGTTATGAAAGTGTTATGTTGTTTTTTTATTCTTTTGTTTATTTCAAGCCGGTTCAATTTAATATTTTCTGGTCAAGTAAGGAAACCCTGTTTTCCACCACTTGTCCTGTTTGCCATATTTTCTAGCTGCTGTTTTCTAATCATATTTTCCCTTCATCCATGTAAAGCTTATAATGCTTGATTCATAAGGAAAATATTGCAGGACCAACAATTAGGAAAAGGTGGATGGGAGCAAAAAACTAGTCTCTATAACCCGTTGTTCTTTAATGGAAATAAAAATTATATGATAACGTTTATTTCAGTAGAATTAATATACATGACTTTAAATAGTATTCTGATATTAATGTTCTTAATTTTTGCTGTATTATAATTTAATGTGTGGATAAGTATTACAACTGACATTGATGAATGTTGGTAGCATTGAAAAATATATTCATTTTTCACCTTGTTGAATATAATCCTGTCAATGTATTTAAGCAAGCAATCATATATCCAAAGAATACTCATCTTGTTCCACAATTGGCTTTTTAGGACATCCATTTATGACAATGACCTTTTATCCAAAGTTGATTTTCATCATTAATTGAATTTCTTTTGAAAAATTTGTTCATAACCAATTGTTAAAAGAAATTGAATAAAATAAATAAATATCATTAAGAAAATGTAAAATATTCATGTTAATGATATTGAGGAGTCATTTGCAGATACTATTTAGCTACCCTACATTGATATTCTACAAGAGAACCTTCAAGAATAATGTTAAACTCAAAGAGTAGAACTAGGTAATTCAATGACTATCTACAAAATAAAAACCATAATATCCACAGCTATAGTTACGAAATCATTAATTTCCCATAGGGATAACAATACATTAGCAAAGCTCAGATTCTACATATAATTTTTTTTGTAGTTCTGTCTTTATCGAATCTCACATGTTAATTAAACTAGTTCTTTATTGAATCTCACATGTTAATTAAACTAGTTTGAGAACTACGCAAACAGAGTAAAAGAACTATAAAATTCATACGTTTTCATAAACTGTTTTAACTTAAACCCAAACTAATTAAGGGAAACCAGGAATCGAGAAGCAATGAGGGGTGGAGAAGCATTGAACAAAATCCTTACTTCTCAAGTAATTTATGCAAACTCTAATTAAATTTCACAAGGCAGGTAAATTCATTTAGTTCATTAGCTCGAATGACAAGCTTTGAGAGCGTGTTGGCTGTTTGTATCTTTTATGGACATTTCAACCATCTAGAAACTAGCTCAAGAAGACATCAAAGTGAGTGAATTGTATTTGCTAGGGGGTTATAAGTGAGAAGTTACAGGAGAGTGAGGTGCTTTTTAGAGAGAGAGAGTGATAGTTGGGAGGAGGAATCAAGGAGGCATGTTTAGTTTTGAGTTTTGAGTTTTGAGAGCGAGAAAGTGGGGAAGGAGTGTGAAAGAAATTTATATGCACATGAATATTTAGTTGATCAAATCGGTTTACAACATATAAAAGGAACTTACAATGTAATAATAGAATTGATTTGAATCTCAAAAGCTTAATGGCAAGTAATGACTTCTGTAATGCTAATTCAGAATTAAAATGGGTATGAGTTGGAATAGGCAGTCTTAGATCATCCATCCGTACTGTTCGTATGTAGCATCTACCCCTATGGTGAAAGTTGGAGAGCTGTTCATCTATTCTCAGAATAAAAGAATTATGGTGGACTATTAACAGTATATGTAGATCTTATTTTTCTTTAAATGAATTCAACAAAATATGCGGTTTGTTGTTCTATCAATTCTCTCTTTAAATGAGATGTTGGAGGAAAACCAGCATATAGATATATGTCTATCAATAAAAATTCTAGTAATTCCAAGCGCAGACCGTTGTTAATTTTTTAGCATATTGCTTAAGGGATCATCATAAATCAACTATTTATCCTCTGGCCTCGTTTGCTTTTCCTTATAAATAGTATTTAGTTTATACCCAAGTGATTTCTACTGTTGCAAGCCATCTAGTTTCAGCTTCCTCTTCTACAAAGCCAATTTAATCAGTACTTAAGATATCCATCCATCATTTTATGAAGCATCTTTTTATAATGTGTAGCTCCTTATTACTTTTAGTGATTACCCTTATTCAGGAGAACCCAAGGCTATTCCCTGGACACATGCAACACCTTTGAAAGCTGCTGCAGATGCTTGGTCGCATATGGACATTCGTAAAGGAGATGTTGTTGCATGGCCTACTAATCTTGGTTGGATGATGGGCCCTTGGTTGGTTTACGCTAGTTTATTAAATGGGTCTGCTATGGCACTATACAATGGCTCCCCGCTTGGTTTAGGATTTGCTAAGTTTGTACAGGTAAGCCGTTCTTGAAATAATTTTTCATTGACATGAAGCTCATTCAATAGTAAAGTTTCTTTTTTGATGGAATGTGAAATACAAAAGAAGCACACTTGTTATTGTTTGAGATTAAAATATGTTTTAATAACAATAAGTAGTGACAATATTAGTCAATACTCAAGGAGTTAGTATTAACTTTTTGCTTAAATTTTAATGTGTCAATATATTATTGAAAAATTAATGATTTCGAGCCGACATGAAATAATTTGAAATTGGTTTGGACTCAAATTATAACAGCTCAAACTCTTAATTACCCAAGATATTGCACATTTTGACTTAATGACCTCCCGGTTATGTCCCGTTTATGTAAGTTGTTGGGAGGTCCCTCATCTCGAGAGTGCTCCTATACGGGCAAACTTTGAAATTTGTAATGAAATTCCAACTGTTACACTAAAAACCACCTCGATATTTTAAGAGTTTAGTTTTATTTTCTTAAGTGGTTTCACAATATCCCCAACTTAGGTAACTGATGTCCTCAACTATTTCCTTAACCTAAAATAATCCACCAGGCAAATTTGATTCTAAAGGTAGAAATCCTATCATTAGGAAGTTCAGTTGTTAAAGCTAAATGAAGAATTAATCATTATTTGTTTTATTATGGTTTTGAAAGTATCATGCATATAGTTTTGTGGATGCTGTATATGGCCATTCATTCTAAATGAAATTTTCTCGACCTCTTGTTTCAATTATCTACTTTTGTTTGTTTCCCCAAGTTGGGCAGCTTTCCAGCATTAAGAGTTTTGAAATGTGGTGATTTTTGTGAATTCGCTAGGATGCAAAAGTTACAATGCTCGGTGTGGTTCCAAGTATAGTTCGAGCTTGGAAAAATACGAACTGCACCGCCGATCTTGATTGGTCCACCATTCGGTAAGTTGATACTTTGGCATCTAATGTTTAGAGATGCACTTTACATTTGTTTTTTCTCATTATTTTTGGAAAAAAATTGCAGATGCTTTAGCTCCTCAGGGGAGGCATCGAGTGTGGATGAGTATTTATGGCTGATGGGAAGAGCACATTACAGACCAGTTATAGAGTACTGTGGTGGCACTGAAATTGGAGGCGGATTTGCTTCTGGATCCCTATTGCAGCCTCAAGCTTTAGCTGCTTTTAGCACTGCTGCAATGGGCTGCAGTTTATTTATACTTGACAGCAATGGGATTCCTCTTGTGAGTCTTAAATTTTCAGCTTGAAATTTATATTTGATAACTTTTCTAAAACATTCACTTTATTATGGAGAAATTATTAGGTTCTGATAATGGACATAGCTTTTATATGCCAAGTACTAGAGTATATAGTTGTGTACTATAATTTTCAAAGTTTTAGACTTTAGAGGACTAAACCTCGAATTTCTTTCCTTAGTTTTCTTTCTTTATAGGCTTTATTTGTGGTGCTCTCTGCATTTTTACTTAGTATCCTGTGCAACTTCTAATATTTGAACTTTTCATCATCTATAGCCACAAAACACACCTGCTATCGGTGAACTTGCCCTTTTTCCCAAAATGTTTGGGGCTTCTACAACATTGCTAAATGCTGATCATTATGCAGTTTACTTTGAAGGAATGCCACTCTGGAAAGGAACAGTAAGCCTTGCTGCTACAGAAAGGATTTTTTTTGGTATTTCTTAGGCTTCATTTGGTACAGCTTTATTACTGCTTCTTAAAGCAGCTTTCTAGCAAAAAAAAATTTAATTTTTGTACTAAAAAGCTGCTTTAAGAAGCAGTAAGAAAGCCGTCCCAAACGAACCCTTATTCTCTAGGTGCACGTACTGATCTAGCCCAGTCTTGCAGCAACTTCGCCGCCATGGAGATGAATTCGAGCGCACAACTGATGGATACTACAGGGCACATGGCCGCGCTGATGACACGATGAATCTTGGTGGTATTAAGGTGCTAATAACCCCATAATATTTCTTTTCTACAATAATAATTTAAGATAATCAATTTATTTTTCATTGCATATCTCTCTGTAGGTTAGTTCTGTTGAGATTGAGCGAATATGTAATGGAGTAGATGAAGAAATCCTCGAGACTGCTGCAATTGGCGTGCCACCTGCTGGTGGCGGTCCTGAGCAGTTATTTGTTGCTGTTGTCTTCAAAGTTGAAAAGTCTTCAGAAGAGAATTTGGACCGGCTTAAAGTTTCCTTCAACTCTGCCTTGCAAAAGAGATTGAATCCTCTATTCAAAGTAATCTTTTATTTTCATTTTTGTTACCTAAATTCTTTGTTTTTTTAGCTGAATATTGTAAATGCGGTTTGATTTTTCCTGTTCATTCGTAGGTTTCTGTGGTGGTGGCTGTACCAGCACTGCCAAGAACAGCTTCAAACAAAGTCATGAGAAGAGTTCTAAGGCAACAATTTGTGAAGCTTTATTCGCGCTCTAAGTTCTAATTTTGCTGTGCTATGTTTTGTTGGCTCTCATGAATATTATCCAATTTTGTGAAGGATGTTCATAGCCTGTATTTTTTGGTAATAAGTTGTTTATGATGATGAGAGATTATGAAGTGAGATACTTTGAAGGTGTTGGAAAGAAAGAGTGTGGATATTATTATGTTTTTTTTGCTATTGGTTATCTAATGCTTGGATTCCCTTTTGGTAATATCTGATTATCCAATGTTTTTTTTTTTAGATAGGAGAGTTTGTTTGGTGAAGGATAAGCATATAGGAAGGCTTTTTCGTTGTTTTAAAAGTAGCATTTTAATATAAAAATTTTTAGTTCAAAATATTTTTATATTAAAAAATTATTTTCAAAAGCAGTGATCAATTCTAAGAAACATTTATTGTGGATATAGTGTAAAATGTGTTTTTTTTTTTCTCATAGAATGTGTAGTGATATTGATGTTATAAACTTATAATCATACTATAATTAATTATTATTCTAAATTTGATATAGAAAATACTAGTTATTAGTCAGTGCTTAGCTTAATTTATTTATTTTTTTTAATTTTCATTTTGATTTATTATTTTTATAATAAGAAGAAGAATTAATTTATAATTTAATTTAAATTTATTCTTGGGTAATATAAAATTCTTACAAACAAAAATGACTAAGAAGCAAGAGAAAAGATGAGAGAGAAAGAAATATGAGTGAGAAACATTGAGATTGCATTGGAGTATAAGAAAGTATAAGATTTGGGCAAATAATTCAACGTCCCTTGGTTTACTCTCAGATGTCATTTTTATAGGCATGATTAGGGGTGCAAATGAGTTGAGTTGAGCTCTAATCAAGACTAATTTAAGCTCGACTCACTATCCAAACCTCAATCTTGAACTCGAGTAGAGCTTGCTCGCCACAAGCTCATCAAGCATTCAAGCGTCTCTCTTCCGTTGCAAAAGTGGTTAGCACATGACTACCTCTTCCGCTATGAACGTGGTTCGCACACGGCTTGAGGTCTGATTCGCCCTCCATCGCGGTTCGCACGCCGCATGAGCTCTGATTCACCTCCGTTGTTCCACCTTCCATCCCCTGCTGTTCTGCTTTTCATGAGCCGTTCGATGAGTAATCCAATCGAGCGGATAGCTATTTGAACTGGAGCTTGATAAGTTAACGAGCTTGAAATCCTGCTCGAGCTTGATAAGCTCGACTTGCGAGTTTGTTAACGAGTTGAGTTCAAACCCGCTCGTGAATCGATTTGATTCGGTTGCACCCCTAGTCAAGATACTATAATAAATACAAGTAAACTTTAATAAACCTGTTAGCAAATGTTAATCTAAACATGCCAAAATCTAGCTAGTCAGCAAGTTAAGTCTTCCAACCACTCATGCTTGCTAATTAATTTCCAATGTGACAGAGAACCACTTATTGTATTCTATTGACAAGTTGCATTCTCCTTTTTAATATAATTACCTGTCCGTCCAATATTTTCTATAGAAACAGTGACTTCATTTACTTTTCAACGTTAACATTCAATTGGGGTCAGCACTGCAAGTTACATACAACATATTGCCTTGCATTTCTGCAAATCTTCATTGGGTTCTTCTCCTCTCTCCCTCTGAGGTACCTTCTCTTCTTTGTTACATAATTTCATTCAATTTTTATTTGTATGATTCAGGTTTCATTTGAGACGATTTTTTTGTTGCTTCTTAAAGCAATTTTCAAGTACAAAAACTTCAACTTTTGTACTAAAAAGTTGTTTTAAGAAGCAGCAAAAAGCCGTCCCAAACAAATCCTCTGTGAATCTTTATGTTCTTTTTTGCCTTAGTAATAACAATCTTATTGAGTTCTCAATGGAATGACTAGATTGAGAAGATGATGATAATTGGTGGTAAACAACTACAGAAGCTTGTGGGAGATCTGAAATCGAAACTTAAGAAGCCATTGATGAAGTCAAAGAAGCCTTACGACAAGATGGACAAGACTGAGAGCATGAGAGTGGAGATCAAAAGCAGGAAGGCTCGGAAGCTTATATCTGAGATACTCAAGATAGCTGATTCCCCTGCAGGCCACAAGAGCTATGCTTTTTGATTAAAATTTTCCATCATAAGCTCTGCATTTATATAGAAATAGTTCTTTGGTTGCGATTTCATGTGTGGCTATGTTATTCAGCAGTCAATCTTTACTTGTTAAGGGAGTTTATCTTATGAAACATATAAACAGTACTTCAAAACAGTTTAACTAACTTTAACGCTCTTGATTTTGTAGTGCAGAAGAATGACCTATATAACAGGAGAAATTATTCTGTGCAAAGGCTGGACGCAGCTCTACGTTCCGAGACAAATCAGGTGCAACCACATCAGCAGTACTGAGCCACGATACGGAGCAGTACCGAGCGGTACCGAGCAGTACCGAGCTGCGGTATACAACGAAAGGGTGATGTGGCATATTCTGATTGGTTTCTGAACGCCGTCCGCACAGAATAATTAATCATATAACACGGTGAATTTTAAAATGTCATCTGATTTTTTTTAAAGAATCAAGTAAAAAAATATTCAAAAATAAATCTAATCTTCAGCTTGATATATATATATATATAAATCTTGTCCTTGCAATGGATAGCAAGGCTAGTCATCGGAACTAATGCCTCGCCATCCATTGTCTCCTTATTTCTTTTTCTTATTTTCACCATCTCCTCGCAACAAAACCCTTTTAAGCAATGGCTTTGTTGAGCCAATTTCGAGAGGGTAATGAGTTGCTCTTACTTCTTACATAAGCTTTTTGAGCCCATGCATGTGTTGTCGAGGTAAGTCCTTGAACTTATAACTATAATTTGTATAGTTTTTTCTAATGGTATAGTTTGAGACTGTTTATAAGGGTAGTGTAAAACCTAAATTTTAAATATTTTCAAGATTTATTATAAGTCAAACGTGAAAATAGTTTTCACCATAAGATATATATTATTGTGTTTTAATTATAATATTTTTTCTTATTTTTTGGGCACTTGTGCAAATCATTAATAAATTGACGCTTGTTAGTACAAATGAGAATTTTGAGACCGTCACAAAAAATTTTTAAATAAAATGAAATATTTTATAGACATTTTTCTATAACTTTTGAAGCCCCTAAAAGATTTATATAAATTTTATACTAAAAATTTGATTATATTAATTATATAATATTAAATTATTATTTTAATCAAAATATCTTAAGTCACTAACTGAATCCTTAAAATCTTTTTAAATCCATCTCCTTATGCATGCATTTCGGCTAATAGAGATCACTTAGCAAAATTTGAGAGAAAGTGTGAGGAGAGAGAAAAGAGAAGCACCAAAAGATTAGGGCTTCGTTTGGGATGGCTTTTTTATTGCTTTCTAAAACGGAGTTTTAGTACAAAAATAAAAAATTTTATACTAAAACTCCGTTTTAAAAAACAGTAAAAAAGCCGTCCCAAATGAAGCCTAGATTTAGAGATCATTGTCGACTATATTGGAAAATTTGCTCATCTCAATTTAAGAAATTATTACCCTATTTATGATTTCAATAATTTGATATTTTTTATATTTTTTCGATCAAATTTGATTGATAAACTTTCACTGTATAATTTTTTGTATGTGATAGATATCGTCAATACTAGCATTTTGAAATGAATATATTATATTTTCACCGGTTATTGGAATATATAATTTTTTAAAGTAATGACACAGTAGATAAATTTAATAGTTTTTCCTGCATTTTTTTATTTGCTGCATTTCATATATGATATTGACAAAATGTAGCATTTACATGTAAGAGATGTTAGATGGAAGGATGTTCGTTAACATGGAAGATAAAGATCGATGCTAATTAGTTGACAGTTGGGCCTAATTAAGACTAATACCCAACTTGGCGACAGTTAGGGTTGACCGATATCAATTGGTTGATAGTTGGGCTTAACTAAAACTGATACCCAATTGGGCAATAATTGAGGTTGACTGATACCAATTAATTGATAGTTTGACCTAGACTAAAATCGATACTCAATTAAATAATTGGGGTGGAATGTCAAAAAAATCACCTTAAAGCTATTACATTTATATGATAATATATTGAACTGAAATCATATTTTCATCCATATTAATACAATATGACATAACACACTGACATGCCTCATTGAGTGATAGTCGTCTTTATTGAGTTTTTTACAGTTTGATTGATCTTTTTTGACTTCACAGATTATATTAATTTTATCATTAATTTTTAAGATTTTTATTGCTCATATTAAATGATGCTTGGTATTGACTAGAATAGAAACATACATATTGAATCACTTGTCTTGCATTAAAAACAGTGATAGAGTTTTGGTCACATGTTGGGTGTGATGCCCTAAAATCTAAATTGGAAGAATTATTCATTTATCCTTTAAATAATCAACAATCAGATCTATCTAATGTCATCTATCAGTAATAAACAGTCCAACATATTCTATAATTTAAAACATCAATCTACATAAATATAGAGGACGATGATTTTTTAAGGCGAGGAGAATGTAATAACCCAAATTTTAATTCAGGTAAATATTTTTTTTCTAGAGTCGTTATAAGTCAAATTTGAAAACTATTGTTTTCCATAAGATAGATATTATTGCGTTTTAATAATAATAATTTTTTGGTAATTTTTGGGCACTTGTGTAAATCCTTAAGAAATTGACACATGTTGGTACAAATGGAGATGTTGGGACTATCAGGTGTTCATTTTACAAACTGATTTATCAAAAAAAATTTAAATAAATCGGTTATTTAATGGATATTTTTCTATAACTTTTAAAGCTCCAAAAAGATTATAAATTTTTATACGAAAATTTTGATTAAATTAATTATATAATATTATATTATTATTACATGATGATTATACTGTAGATGATTTACTCAAATAAAAGTAGTTTAACAATTGCATGTGTACAAAATGTCCACTCATTATAGTCATGTCAATGGCTACCACATGCAATGAGTAGTGAGAGAATTGATATCTGAAGTGCTACTTTATACTCCATAATATTTATTAATAGATAGATCTGGAACCCAAAGAGATTATATGTCATATTGAAGCTATGCTAAATGTTAGGATTTTCTATATGAAAGCTTGAGATGCAAAGCGGAAGACAATAAAGCCTATTTTTGGCGGTTGATAGAAATCATATTATTTATTGTATATGTTGATGCAAACTATAAGAGCTATTATAAGAG